GCTGTCACTGTGCCCGCCCCTCCCCAGTGTGCCCATGCTGCCTGTGCCATCTCTGCCGCGGGCGAGTGCTACTGGCCAGACGCCTGGCACTCAGCTGGCAGCGAAGCTGTGAGCAGCCCCAAGCACAGCTGAGCCCTGACCCATATGCCAGCTGGCGGTGGGGTCCCATGCGTGGGGAGCTGTGGCCGGTTCTGGTTTGGGGGTTTTGTTTCAATCCGTGGGGGGCTTCTGCCTTGGTTTCCCTTCCTTATAACGAGATGAAGGAGTCAGGGTGGCAGTAACCCACCAGGGACAAGGCTGCCCCGTCCCTGTGGGTCCCTCTTCCCGCGGGCTCGCCCTGTGCCTGGGCACTGGAGTTCAGCTGCACCGGTGCCCCAAAATCGCAGCTGTCTGCAGACACTTTGTGAGCGCGAATGGCTCGGCCCTGGCAGCGTTCGCCCTCCCGCAGACGCTGCCGCCTCGCAGGCAGGCAAAGCCCAGGGGCCCGGGGTGGGCAGAGGGGACCGTCTCCGGCCGTGAGCACCGCGGGCGCTGGAGGGGGCGCAGCTCCGCTGGTAACCCTGCTTCTCTCCCTGCCTTTCAGAAACACCCCGGTGTCTCACGCTGTCCTTGGCACAAACGTAAGTGTGCGCGGGGATGAACGAATGGCGCTGGGGCTGGAAAGCCACCCCGGTTTGTCTGACTGGGCATGCACCTGCAACAAGCAAGCAAAGCTGCTTTCGCAGAGCAGACGGAGCCGTGCTGCTGGGCCTGGGGCTGCGGGATGCCGCAGCCATCGCTCGGGTGCAAGGAGCTGGGAGAACCCCGCGCCGAGGGCAGGGCATTTCTGTGTGCCAGGGGCAATGTGCCACGGAGCTCTGGCTGGGGCAGGGAGGGCACGCTGCTCACCCCACTGCTCCTCACACCCCTCTGTGGGATCACTCGGCCAGGCAGTAGCCGTGGTGGGAGGGTTTGCTTGTAGGCAGCGTTTTCTCAGCTTCTGTTTGGTTTTGGCGGGCTGTGGTTCACCTAAACACCTTCTCTCTCCTTATTTTCGGCTCTTCTCCAGTGACTCCACCTTTGGGAAGAGAAACTTTGAGCCGATGCTGACTGTGGAGCTGTGTGGGACAGCAGGTAGGACAGGCTTTTAATTTTTCAGTTTTGCATAAATCCTCCCTGGGAGGGGGAAAATTTGCCTTAAATTCATCCTGGAGTTTCTGGTTCCAGCCGAGCAGGCACATTCATCCCGCTGACCTGGGAGCCCCCCTTTGCTCCGCAAATGCCGGGGACTTCCCGTGTGCTGCCTCGCCTCTGCATCCAAGCACTGCCAGCAGCTTGTGAGCTGCATCCTTCAGAGATGCCAGTGCTGTGGGGACACATTTGGGATAGGGGGGTGGCAGTTCAGGAGGCTCCTGCATGAGCCAGGAGGGAAGGGAGGGTCTGCTGGTCCCTTCTGGGATCAGGCATCCATTTTTCCCCAAGTGCAGCTGGATGGATGAGGCTAACAGG